GAGCACAAAACAGCAAACTGGGGATGAAGAAAAAACGTTGCCCAGCTGGTTGTTCGTTGCGATTGCGGTCTTGGGAGTAATGGTGCTGCTTGCAATTGTGATTGTATTTTTGGTAAGATCAAGTTATTATGGATGGGAGCTGATATTCGAAATAGTAAAGAAGAGCTCAATTATTTTTTAAATCCGCCTAGCCAAAGAAAAATAATTTTAATATCTATCTTCTGACCTCAGTAGCAGATGTCAGGCATCTACCAAATCGGAGATCCCTTTTGCAGAATCTAATAGGGTGGAAAAGGAATAACAGAGACGCAATCAACAGTGACGCATGGTACACTAGCCCCGTGAAATCCACCATTTTCTGTGCCAAAATCTAAAGGCTTTTATCTAAATAACGGTTCTCGATCTTCCATATCCTTGTCCATCCTTGCCTGTGTATACTACGCAGGTCACGTAAATTGTGTCATCGCCTCTTAACGTTATCAGTATTATAATTATTTGCATTTACTTTCTAGTCGATTTGCGTCGATAATCGTAATATTTTTGTGGTTTGCCGTATGTTAACAAACTTATGGGCGAGGTTAGGAGCGTAACAAGAAATTTTTCAAAGGGAGATTCATGGTTACGAATTCCCCGCGCCTACGTTTATTGGCCATACAGAATCTGTACCTTGTGCATCGGGCTCGTATCCATACGAGAGAAAAACTTATGAATTGAGTATTTAGAATCAAATAAGATTCGTGGTATGCTCATTCCTCAGATTAGCTCGTTTTCGCCACTTGAATCATATGTTTTACAGGCATTTGAAAAACAAAAAAGTTATCTCTTAAAGGGGTGGTGGGGTCACAGGTAACCGAGCGGCCCTGCTACAGCTACGCACCTCGGCAAAGGTTGACTAGGATCCTTGGAAACGACGGACGTTGCCATGAAACGCCCTTATGGTTACCCTGAAACGATATATAGCTTCCAAATTAGCAAAAACTAGAGCGGCGTTAAGAAAATACGGCTTATAACCTACAGTGTTTGATGAAGCACAGATTGTAAGATTGCTTAAAATAATCTCAAACAGCTATAAAAATATATAACCAGATACATGTAACCTTGTTTGGCTAGCTTTATCGGAACGTATGGCACTGGACAAGGAAAAGCTCCCGAAGTTTAGGCGATCCCATTATCTTAAAGCGGGATAATAAAACTACCACATTACAATTCCTTGTATCAATTCTGTTTTTTATTCTCAGGCTTGTAGAAAGCGAAATAAACGAAGCCACAACCTAGCATTTCTGGACGTATATGAGAACTATGGTATTGCGATGGAGGAAGTTCAGGTGGGAAAATCGAACATGAACCATCAAGAGGATGACTAAAATAAAAGGTGAAAAATCAACGAACTTTCTGCATGCTTTTTTAGAGTTTTTCGTAGTAGTTTTTATTTCAATAGTTAACCCTGGAGCAAAATACAAACAACGAGTACAAATACTCAGCGATGCTACGCTCCAAAACGTCCAATAAGTTATTTATTATCCAACTGCTTTTTTTTCTGGTATCTCTTTTGGCTCATTTCTCATAAGGCGGGAAAAGCAAAGCAGATAGAGAAGCGTTGCGCGCGCAGCCGACTGGTTAAACAGGTTTTTTTAACAGTCCAAAACAACCAACTGTCCAAATAACCGTACAGTATCGCAGGATATCTGTACTCTGCAACATTATTAATCCGATTTCATTCTCTGTTATAGATAAGCTATGGCCAAAAATGAAAACGAAATGAAAAAGAGATATATCGCGTTCAAGATGAACAACACAATGCACATTTTAGAGATATTGTACAGATGCAGGGAAAATGCCCGTGAATAACATTATACTTGAGACCCAAGTTATCTACAAGTTACAGAGGACGGCATGTCTTTTAATTCCGAAAAAAAGACTGACATTTAAGAAGGAAAAAATCAGAGTGAGGGGAACAGTTTGTTCCTTCAAGATTCATCACCATTTGGTAATTTCTCCCTAGCATTTGCAACGAAGGATGGCCACAATGGATATAATGTGGATAAATTACAGGGAAACTGACCACCTACATTGAGATTGAACGAAAATTCCAGTTCAATGCCGGCTTCTGTTTGACTTTGCTCAATGCATTTACATAGGTCACGAAGGATAAAGAAGGACAGTGTCATTGACTGGAAGAAAAATCCCCCCCCGAAGGACAAGGGCTTCACATATCAGGGAATACAAAAAGGTTAACTTTGCTAAAGAAACGATAAAAAACATTACATCCCTTTTTTTTATAAATCATCGATTAGAACCCATTAGAACTAATATAAAAAATATGAAACTAGATCAAATATCAATACCATTGATGTTAACATGGTGAAGATCAAATTTTGAAATAGGAGGCAGTTTGTTGGTGTCTCATCTAGAGAATTTCTGCTCAATTTAATAGGAGTAAGTTTTGTACGTCATAGTGTTAGCAAGAGATATTGGCGAGTCTTTGAAGACTTGTTTTTTTGTGAGAAAAAAAGGGCAAGAATACCCAAGAAATAGCGCACAATATTGATAAATATAACGCAGCATAGCCTTAATAAAGAACCTCTAACCGTTTCTGTCACGTTTTTTCTTATATGTTAGAGCTTCACAAAAGAAAAAGAATTGACCATAGTGGGAATAAGGGGTGATTAAGATGTTTCTTTTTCTTCGCTTTTACCAAATATCATTCATCTGTACAGTTTAGTCGACCTTAAAATGCTACATCAAGGCTACTCACATACTCACGGCCAAAGTATGATTTAAAACAATGTTCCGCCTATATATCCAGCACGAGGATCTACCCTTTAGGTACTAAAAACAACGCATGATTACTATTTTCTGTTCGTTTTAGTTTTAAGATTGTATGTGTTCATTAAGTCTCCATTTCATTTGGGACGCCCCAAATATGATCGGAATGTCGTCGCGAATTATACCGCGGGCCCAAATTGTATCTTTAAGATGATATTCGAATAAATTAGCATCATGGCATAAAGATTTTTCTTTAAAATTTTGGAAACACTTTTTAAAAAAATCCGTGAACAACATCAGACACTCTGAAGAAGACCGAGACAGAATTTCTCCTTACCATATCTATACAATATCAGGCAAACAAGTGATGAGAATAAAGACAAATATAAATTATGGGATTACTAATTGATCAGATGCCAAATTCTCCAAACTAACATAATGAGATTCATTTGGCAGACAGTAAAGAGAATTACTAATGAGATCTTGGGAGTTAAAGGGTAAAGTGTCTCTAAAAACTTGATCAGTAAGGCAGATAAGTGCAAAGGACAAATCACACGCTGACATTAAAATGAACAGTAAAATTTCACTTCAAGCAGAGCAACATGGGGATAATTAACTTCATTTTTTTTAATAAATCAAGGGCTTTTATTAAGCAAACCTAATAGCAGATAAAACTAAATTAAATATTTATAATATTAGAGGTCAAATGTTGATTAAAATAGTCCTTTGTTAGAGGTGCCTATGTCCAAAGAATTAAGACTCCAATGAATACATATTGTACGCATGTCACTGCATTTGCTAGATATAAAAGAGAGTCTTAAAAGACTAACATTCTTAAGGAAAAAAATCAATTTTAACTTTCACTGTTTTTGTTTGTTTTGTTGTTTTATTCCAAAAGCAAAGATCCATCATACAATAACGTAACAAAAATAAAAATAAAGAGTTCCGGATTAAAGTTGAACACATTGGTTGTCACTTAAAGAAGAGTTGTGATAATTGACAATCCAAATTTATTTATTGCTAAAATTGCTTTAATTCAGGACCACAAAAAGTATGGTCTCACACTAAATATTCAGCTATCTTACACAAAAGATACATACAATACTTACAGTTCATGAAATTACATGTCCATTTTTTTTTCTATTATATGCATCAACCAATTAATCATGCACAAATTCAAAGAGCCTTCTTGGTAGTATTAGGAATTCCACTTTTTGGTCTGCCTGATTTTGGTCTGGTTGAAGGACTGTGAAAATAATTTGAGGAAATTAATTCTGACAATGAATTAATCATCAATAAATAGTTATTCATTAACCATAACTAGTAATTATTATTGATTAATTCATTCTCTACTCGGGGTTATTTTTAACTGACTCTCAACAGTAATCTAGGAATGCATTGGCTTGGCTTTAAATCTTTCTGTGATTGCTCTAGTTAAGTCCAACCACACTATTTCACCAATACTAGAAATCAAAATTTAAAAAATGGCAACTTGGTCACCAGCTTTCTCCTGCTCTTCAGGCTGGATGCTTGTTTCTCCTCTGAGCTCTCATTTGCTAAGTTTAAAACTTTCTTTCTTTATAACTGGTTTGTGATTCCTTGGCTTTGTAGTTTAACCCTTTAAACCCTCGAAGTGATAAACATCTAATTTCTCCTAACAGTATCACCCCTAGTTCAAACATTAAGGTCATAAGAGTAAAGGAAATGATTACAATGTTAAGAAGCTCCTGATTATTAAGTAAATTCTCCTTGTGAGTAGCATTGGGAACATATAGAGAATAGTATAGAGAACTTGTAAACTGATGTTAGGGTGTAAAGGGCTAATATTCAATAAAAATATGCCCTATTCACAAACATAAAATTAACATCAAACCTGCTCAATTCCTGATCAGTTTCTTCCATGATAGCTGATTTATCAGGTAGGGTTGCTGTTAAAAACAATGAACATAGGGTTATAATTTAAAGTTAGTGTCAAATAATTTTCTGTACCTGCCAGAGTGGCCATAAAGGTTGCAGCTTGGAGCATTTTAATATCATTCTACATAAATCCAAAAGTATACTTCCAAATCAGCTTTAGCCTTGTTATCGCACGACCCCACAAGCTTTGAGCTTTAAACCCTACTGTGTTTAAATAAAGCAAGCCTTTCTATTGCTCCTTTCACATAGAAATAAGAACTTATTTATATATAAAAGTGAACTCCAATACTAATGGCTATTTACACTCAGGCTTCCTTTTTATAAAAAGGCTTTTTCGCATTAAAAGAGTGACATGTGGTTCCTCTTACCAACATTGTTATTGACTCCAGGGTGTTTTGCAAGGCCAATAAGAAATCCATAAAAAGTAACTCTTTCAACAGACGATAACAGTTCCTTAATGACCTCAACAGGTGGACAACTGAAAGAATGATTTTCAAACTACAGTAAATTCCTTCACAATAAGAAAAAAGTTTTTAAATCATTGACCCTCGAGGCTCTATTTTGGATAAAAGGAAAATTCAATCCAATGTAAGGAAATCAGTTTGAAACAGCTGTATAAGGCTTTAGAGTGACAAATGACATACTTATAGAAGGATGTTTTTTCGTCTTGTCACGAGCATGGGACAAAGAAAAATTCTGAGTCCCCATGAGGAATCAAACCTCTGACCTTCAGATTTGCACTCCAATGCTCTACCACTGAGCCTCAAAGACTCTTCAGTGATCAGGGTCTATTACAAAGTTCTAATGACACGTGTCCCGCATATGGCTAGGATCAACAATGTCAATAGCGTAATGTTTTTTGACAGAAAAGTAGAGGCAGAAAAGCAGTAGCTAAGATCAGAAATATCAAAGACATCTGGTACAGATACACATATGTACTAAGAAAGATGATAAAAGTTGGGAACTTGCTCATCAAGTAAAAAGATTTGAAACATTTGCCATGGATCTGGGAGAAAAAAGAAACAGTTTAGAAAGGAGTATACCTGAAGGAGCCATTGCTGGTATGAATAATTTGAAGGATGGCCTCCAAGAAAGAATGAACCTCCACTCCATCCTCAGGACTGACCTGAGCAGCATCTGTTGCAGTGTGTGCAGGCTGCTGTGTCTTGTGCTGAGTGGGCCTGGACAGTGTTGGCACTATCACTATCTGACCAGGTCTATAAGTACCTGATATCAGGGCTTGATAAGTGCTGTGAAGTTTCTCTATAAACTCTGTAAAAAAACTCTTTGTCAGAAAAGAATTTATGCACATCAACATCAACTTTACTTCCAAGCCTTTCTTTAGAGGTATGGACTGGTAACATTTAAAGGAAAGATTTCCACAAAAAACAAAGATCAGAAGAATGTCAAAGTGAAGAAATGAAGAAGGTGAAAAAGATTGGACAAAAATAACTGCAAATGAGGTTTGAGGATGAATTTTCAACATATTATGTCAAAATACATAAGCATTGCTCAATTGGAATCAAAGGAATAAGTAGGATTAAGTGTATGATGACCTTTAGCAGAATCTTATTGAATGTTGGAGCTAAACATGTACCAAAATGTTTTATTCATTACTAAAAAATTACTTTTTTTCTTTTTTACCAGAGACAGGGTCAAATGCAGTCTTGCAGATCTCCCCCTCCACATATGTAAGCCCCATAAGAAGTCCATTATAACAAAGGGTGAAAAGCAAGGTGATGTTTCCACTAGATGGGATTTGCCAAAAATAAATGGAAAACACAAATTCAAATGCAAAAACTATTCAAAAAAAGAAAAATGTATTACTCAAGTTATGAAACCACCATGAAGACAAAGGTTAATAGAGAATAATATCTATTTAGGGAAATTATTACAGAGGACTAAAGCTAAACAAATGTAAGAGCAAATTAACCCAGATTGCAATTCAGTTTTGGTTTAGGTTTGTGTGTAAATGGCATCTCCTGAGACAATCAAATTTGCTGTAGTTTTAATTTGCAAACATGTGATAAGATTTTCACCTCTTCAGACTGAAATAGTCAAGATTACTATTTGCTAACTTACCCTCATAAAAGAACTGTGTTTGGAAAGCATAAAGAAAATCTGGAAATGACATCAGACAATCCATAGCATCTTCCATTAAAATAATCCTGAAAAAAGGCAGATGTTTTAACCCTTGAATTCCCAAGATCTGATTGTCAATTCTCCCCTCTAGCTGCTACACATTTCCTTGTAAATTAGTTGGAAGAATTGGGTGTTAGATCAAGATATAGACTTCCACCTGATAAGTTTGAGCATTCTCATTATCTTTTTGCTAGATAACGTATTAACATTATAAGGAGAAGTTACATATTAATCACTTCTGGGAGTCAAAGGGTTAAAGGATCGTTCTAAAGTGAGTGACAAAGAACAGCATGCTAGTGATCCATGTATAACCCACCTTGCTGTCTTCTGAACTGGCTCAAATGGAAAATCAGGGCACAACAGGCACACTAGAGAATGATATTCCTTTGCAGATAACAAATCTGTGGTCAATAAAAAATTAGCTCCCTTAAGATGTTTGCCCATTTTCTTTTTGTTTGCAGAGTAGTGCATGCAGACCAGGCACTAAAAGCTCTCTCGATAATTTGTTTATTTATACTAAGTCTTAGGAGTTTTCCATCAACTTAAGTCTCACCAGGAATAACTGTTATTGACACTAAATACAGCATTTCCTTGAATAACTGCCCTCCCCTGAACATTGGTTCCCCCCCCCAAGACCACAATATCAAACAACCTCCCCCTCCCCCTAAATGAATGCCCCCTCCTCCTTCACTTCTCTTAAGAGGTAGAGACAGAAGAAAATTTTTTTCCTGTTGAAACTTTCTTTCTATCTTTTAAGGATTCAACTAAAGTAGAATCAGTTCAGGTTAATAGTGTCTTAATAAGCACACCCCTCCCTTCAACAAACACCCCTCCTTTCAACATAACCCCTCCTTCAACAAACACCTCTCCCTTCAACAAACACCCCTCCTACTGGCCAAAATTTTTAATATGTGCCTGATGATTAACTGAGGAAATACAGTACTCATAATATAGCCTAAATTATATTAGGAACTAATTCACCATCTTCAAATTAAACTATGACTGACAATACACAAAAAGAGGAACAAATTAAAATCAAAAGGAAAACACGAACGACACAACAACTTTTACAAACTCAATATTATTTCCATGCAAGCTCTGAATTTTTTTTCTATCATACCTCCATTCCTTCCGATATGTCTAAAACATTTCCAAAACACTCTGATAAAAGAAGCAATATTGTGAGGTGTCTTCTTGATGTAACTGTACTCCCTGAATAGAGTGTGATTCCCTTGCACAACACTCCTGAAGCTATGAAAGAAGACAGTAGATAGATACATTAGACACTAGAGAATGATTTGCAGGGGCAAAACTTTCTCTACCTGGAGTTTCTTTAAAGATTTCTGTACCAATCAAGTTCCTCAGCAGACAGCAGACAAGATTCATTGATTATTTTCTTAGTAGTAGCACTATTCCCAATTGATGACAACATGCTGAATAAAAAATAAATGATAATGCAACCTCAAGAGGTTACCATAGCCAAAGAAAAAATAAGGCTGTGCTTAAGGCATTCCAGTATCTCAGTAACAAACACCTGAATACAGTATCACAGCTATTACTTAATTAATAAAAAATAAAAATGAAAATTATGATGATGAAAACAATGATAACTATACAAATGGATAATAAATCATACAACAAATAAATGAATTTCATTAACCACTCACTAATCACTCAGAAATCGAGCTGGAATGACCCTTGGATTCTCTTCTTTATGCTCCAGTAGCTGTGCAACTGCATCCTGTCAGATACAATTAAAACATAAATCACAAAAAATAAACATTAAAATACAGTTCAACCCTAATCATTTATAATAGTGCTAGCTAATTACTAGAGAAATTGAGTATCAATTTTAACATCCATTTAAAATTCTTGTGACCCTGACCTGTACTGAATACATAATACTTTGATGAAAACATCAATAGAAAAGATGGTATTGATTGGCCTAGCCTCAAAGCTGCTAGGTAAATATCCACCACTTTGATGATTACCCATGACCTTGAGTGACCTCGACATGATTATTGTACAATCTGCAGTTAGATGACATCCTAGGCACTGATTTTGAAAATTCACTGTACGCTTTCAGCCAATCAAACAAGAGATGGTGAGTTGAATGTATAATAATAGTTATAATAATAATAACACAATCTCCTTAACATTTTTGAAGAAGTGGGAAGACTCACAGTGACTCAGCTGTTCAAGTAATGAAACCCCACAAAAACCCTTTTCTGCTCCTTGCAACCTACAATCTGCATAACACATCCTCCGCTATACATCTGCATATCTTACCTGAAGGTAGGTCAGTACATGGTACTTCGCTGAAAGAGAAACATATCCTATACCTCAGACGAGAGAAATTGTTTATCCAGTTGTCATGATCGGGCAAACATCTGTCAATTATAGCGTTGCGTAGTCTGTCAAGTTACCAGGTGACCTTACCTAAATATTGTTCAGCCGTTAGGGAAAATCTGTCACTTTCATCGGACATTTCATGAAGAAGCGATTTTGTCAGGTTTAAAGAAATATATTTTATCAAGACTTGCGAATTTTTGGTTCAAATAGCCCCTTTTCCCGCCATATTGGATGGCCTGCAATACTAAACAGCGGACGGTACCAACAAAAATCATGCCTAAGAGAGCCACCAGTGAAATGAGTAATTAAAGATGGCGGAAGATGGTGTTAGCTTAGAAGACGAATTCTACAAGAAACTGTTGTTAGAAGAAGCCAAAAAGCTAGAAAATGCACCTCCTGATAGGCACGAATTTGTACCAACTCCACAATTTGTTATGAAATTGCTAAACAGTAAAGAAGAGAAAGTCTTTATCAATATTTGTACTTCAGAGAAAATCCCTCCAGCTAAAGATATAACGGAGGAAACTTTAGTTGAAGTTTTGGAATCTGAGGACCCTACTCAATATCGTGTACCTATGAGTCTTGGAGAACCTCATGTCGAAGTTGATAATCGTGGCCAAGGTGAGGGTCCTATGTTTTGAATGTTCTTTTCTTTACAGAGGCGTAGTCTTATATTAATTTACTGTTGTTGTGGATGCCGTGTGCCACTTTAATAAAGCAATCCGCATACTTGCATACTCAAGCGCTCTCCACTCACTATTTTTTTTAACTGTGACATTTCTAAAACTCTTTTGCTCATTTCAGGTTGCACAGCATATGATGTGGTTATAAATCCAACGTTTTACAACAAGATTCAAAACAGTGAACTCTTCAAAAGCTTCTTCTTGACAATTGTTTTTGAGGGACTTGAAAGTAAATATGATATGGAACTAGAAAGGAAATGGACTGTACTGAAGAACAAAAAATGCATGGGAGTTCTTCAGCCTCATTGCATAAGGAGCAAAAGTAAACCAGTAATAATGGAAATGGAAAGTGAAACAAAACCACGTACAAAACCAGGTAGTATTAGAAGCAAAGTTTTTTATTTAAACCTTTTGGGCCAGTGATTTGCAAGTGGTCTAACCCAGTTTTACACAAGCAGCGTACAATACTTGTTGTTACTTAATTCGGTAAAGTTTCCGCACAGCCCCATACTACATTATGCATTCAGTTCTTGGATAGAGAAAACAATGACAAAAACAATACATTGCCATTGGGAAAACAGATTTGTTTCACAATAGTATAGGGCTGTGCGGAAATTTTGCCCTTTATTCTTTTGAAACTGAGACAAGCTACCACAGTTAACCCTTTCACTCCCAAGATCATATTAGTAATTCTCCTTACTGTCTGCCACACAATTCTTATGATGTTAGTTCTGAAAATATGATAGTGGATCAACTAATAATCCCCTAGTTTATATATTTTTTCATCCTCTTAACTTGTTTTCTTGAATTTGTATGATAATGTAACGAGGAATTCTGTCTTGATTACTCATGGGAATTAAAGGGTTAAAGGCCACCAGGCTCACAAGGCTAAGATGAACCAATCCCTCAACACTTTACTTCTCGTAGTTCTGCTAGGGAAAAGGTTGGGGAATAATAACTCAGCAGTGAAGAAGCTGGGGTCTGGTCTAAAACAGGAACAAGAATTAATAAAAAGGAGAAATGTCAAGAAATGGAAAAATATTTTTGAGCTTTAGAATAAGAGGTTAATAACAAGATATTTTAAAAGTAGATCAAGAGTTGCAAATACCCAAGATAATTATTTCATGATAATAGTTATCATGATAAAAGCAGGGAGGATATGATTATATAATAGTACTGCTTTATTTTTCACGAAGTATTTTAGAGCCAATCACACCAAGTCTACTCAGCTAAATCCACCAATCACAGATTTGATCACAATAACCATAGCAACAACCATTTATCCTAAGAAAATCTGGAGAATTTCCAAAATGGAGGAAGTATTAACTTTAGAAATCGTTTCCTTTCAAAATATTTGTGGATGTAGATGTATTTTTGTTTTTTCGGAAATTGTAATGTTTATGGTTGATTGGTAACAGGACTTCATGTCATTGAATTCTGTCTGCAATCATGCTCATGATTAACAAATCAGATTCCCACTTGGTGGTTGTTTGATTTTGGTAATCACTTGTATTATTCAGACCAAATTGGACACCACTCTGTCCTATTACCATTAATAATAATAATAATAATAATAATAATGATGATGATGATAATAATAATGCTGGTGCTATCAATCATCTCTCATCATATTGTACCTCAATTTCTACTACATGTACATATAATCAATTTTTTTTTTTTTGACCCAAAAAACTAATTTATTTTATGGCTTGCTCGCAATTTCCCTGGACACTAATGTGTATACCATAGATCAAGTGTGGTTACTTTAATGTTATGGAAGTAACCACACTAGATTTACAGTATACACAAACTATCTGTACAGTGAGTGAATTTTCAAAATTATTTATCATTCTTAAGAAACATTAAAAATGCTGTACTGCGATGCACCTTTATTTACTTTTTATCTCTGTTTCCTCCTTAGCAGAACCTAAAATGATAGAGGTAGTACAGGACTCCAAATCAAGGGCCTTGACTCCAAAGTATAATATAATAAGGGAGCCACCAGATGGAAAACCAGAGTTTTTGGTCATTGAGATTAACCTCCCAGGAATTGTGAGTAAGGACAAATAACTTTTAATCAGGGTGGAGATGACAAACAACTGTGATGTGATGCGCTATTTGGGGTGTTGAAAGTTTCTTGTTCTTTTTTTAACCCTTAAACTCCCAAGATCTGATTGCTAATTCTCCCCTCTAGCGGCTAGACATTTCCTTGTAAGCTAATAACAAAACTTGGTGTTAGATCAAGATGAGTATTTCATTACCTGTTTACTGGATAATATATTAATATTGTAGGGAGAGGTTACTTACTGATCACTTCTGGCAGTGAAAGGGTTAATAATACATTTTGTGAGTTTTAAACCTTTTCATGGGATTAGTTTAAGCTACTTGCTTGTATTATTTATTCTTTCTTATAAGAATTCAGTGTTTGTGAGTTTTAGTCTTGAAGACTTAAAAATGAAAACTAGACAGGCTTAGATTAATACTTCCTTCAAAGGAAACTGCTCATATAAATAAATAGCTTGTAAACATCCTGCTCCTGATTGGGCACCTCAAGAGATCTAATAGCAGCAAGACCATCTGTCTGCTGAGCTGGAATTGATGTGTCCAAGGAAACTGCTTTTTCTTTGTGATGGAGAGAAATCCTGGTTTTCTTCATGAAAGATAGAAACAAAATATTGTTGTTACAGTATCCTTCCTGGAGCTTTCATGGAGTTGTGGTTAGAAATGGATATGAATGCGTACATTCATATTGTTTCATTTTGTTTTAAACTTTTTCATATTTTTCCTATTCAATCCAGAAGTCAACCAAGGACACTACTCTTGATGTTGGTGAAGACAGATTAGTCCTGAGAGTCAATCCTGACAAGTACCAACTGGATCTTGACTTACCTTTTGATATTGATAATGACACATGTGGGGCACAGTATAACAGGAAAACAAAGGTGAGGTACCTTGTATCATATTTGGCTTATTATTGTTACATCTGTTTCATTGATGCCTGTTTGCTTTTTTCCATCTTAGCACATCAGAAATATCCTAGCATGATAAGGCCATATTAGTCCTTTTTAACTCCACAATCTTAATATCAGTTATCTGCATCTTTCTTGTTGTGTTCATCATGACTATAGAACTGAAAATTCTGTTGGGGTTGTGTCAATCCATAACACCTGGGCCCAGTTGTTCAAAGGCCGATTAGCTCTAACCCAGAGTTAAATTTTAATCCAGCTTTCTTTATTTCTTTGTTCAAAAGTCTTTTGGGGAAAATTTTCACTATTCTTTTTAGAACATCCAATGATCAAATTGCAAGCAAAAAGATTTGAACTGAATTTTCCCTTGAAGTTTTCAGACCTGAAATCAAATTTCACACTAACCCTGGGTTACCTTAACCCAGCTTTGAACAACAGGGGCCTGGTTAATATTTCTATTTCTTCTTAACCCTTTGACCTTTGACACCTGATAGTGACTAGCATCCATTTTCACCTTGCAATCACACATTAAGGTCAGGAGAATAAAGGAAATGATCACTAACAAGAGAAGCTCTTGATTGTTAAACAAATTCTCCTGATCAGCACCCTAGGAAATTGTATAGATAACAGGATAGAGAATATGTAAACTGATGGTAGGTTGTAAAGGATTAAAATTTACCTACTTGAAAATGAGTTTATGGTGTACAGGAAGAGGAGTTCCAAGCAGGGTTTGAACACAATGCACCTATCATAAAGTCACCTCACCTCCCTTAAATGTGATGCGGACTTTTTCTTTTATTTATACCATGTTTTATTTCTTTCCCCAGGTTCTTACTCTTACTCTACATGTTCTCAGCAGCAGCTGACAGCAGAGTAAATCAATTTATTATCATTAATAAATGTATAATTTAAAGTTGCTATCTTTTCTTATTCCATCCTTAAATTTTTTGTACCATAAATGTATTTTATGCTTATAATATTATTTAAATTTATGAAAAATTAACAGTTTAGGGTACAGTGGTTCCTCATATCTGAGAGAGATTATGTTATGACCCAGTAGCCTGTGCCAGGTGTTCAGTCAATGAGTGGAGTGCAAATGTGTGGCAGAATGATCACATGGTGAGAGGTTCTTCGTTTTTTTTGTTTTGTTTTTTTAACAGAAAATATATTTAAGTGAAAAAAGTATTTTGTATAATTTTCAGTGTTTCTGTAAGTCATCATTTGTTTATTAGAGAAACATAACACCACCACTTAAACATGCCTGCTGTGTGTAGCATTGATCCTAATGTTTCAAGGTGTCGAGTGACTGTGTACACTTCTGCTATGTAACAGAACTCCCTAACCCTTCACCAGTAACCCCATATCTATTATTAGTATGTCCCCTCCAGGCTCTATACAATTTCATGCAAAATGCTTGGGAGAATTTGGCTTTATATCAAGATACCAGTCAACACATCTGTTATCTCTTGTAACCTGTTTGATGACATTTGTCCTGATATGGCATGTGGAAGGAAAGTGCTGATAAATGGTGCTGGAGATGAAGAGTGAACACACCTTTTTCAAACCTTTGACCCTTAAGAGTAACCAGCATCTATTTTTTCCTTACAATATCACCCCTGAATCACTCATTAGGGTCATGAGAGTGAAGAAAATGATCACCAAATTAACAAGCTTGTGATTGTTAAACAAATTCTCCTTGTCAGTACCTTAGGAAATGTATGGAGAACAGTATGGAGAATCTGCATACTGATGTTAGGGTGTAAAGGGTTAAAGCTGAATATACTTGCTGTATTTCCTAGAAACACCCCTGTCCAACGATCCAAACACAAATACTTCACAGACCTTTGCTAGAACTTATTTTCTGGTGTCATTTTATACACTGCTGTCTGACTATTCAAACAGAAGTACTCAAGAATACACTTTGTGAGCTGCTGAATCACCCTATCATTTTTGTAAATAATTTGGAGTGTAGGATGGAAACTTTAACACCACAAAAAGAAGTGGTAGAGTATCAAGGAGACTGTTGGAATATAACCTTCTTTTGAAAAGGGGGAGGGTGCAGTGCACTTATGTACTCTAATGAATAGTCAGATTTGGATAATATTTCCAATGAGTTGCTGATTAAGTGTCTTCCACCCCAGTGGTTAGCAAAGAGGGCATGGGTCTGCCTCCTAATGCAGATAATTGCTATTTTAGTAAAAAGTAACTTATCAGGTGATCCTGTTCCAAATAACTGTAGAAAAATAAGGTGCTACACTCTACCCTGTAATTGTTGGGCTGATTAACCTTCATTTAAAGAGTGGATCTAGAAAATTTACAAAGGAAGGGTCCAATCAGTGATGTCTCAGCTCAGCCTTTTTTCATACTGAAAAAACACCTAAATATTTGCTTAAATGACTCAAGCGTTGGTTACAGAAGAGAAAAAATGAAGACCCCTGGAAATTAAATGGGGTGCACAGCCTGCTGAGTGGCCTCTTTAAACCTTTAAATCTGTCCACAATTTTGCCAAGTCTGGTCGGAATTTGTGATTTATCTTTAACAAAACATCATTCAGAGAAGGACCGCAAATGGGTTACTAGGCATACTTGATTACTATATTGCTAATCCTAACTCAGTAGCCCATTAACGCAGTGAGTTTTGCCTCATTCACATTTTTCTATCATGTGCTTGGCTGTACACAAACCCCTTTTCATGTGACTGCATCTGTCCTACAAACAAACTGTTCACGAGTGTCACCTCAATGTAAAGCTTCCTATGCAACTTCAGTCAAGGAGCCTCTTGGCTCGTCGGTTTGAAGTGCCTCTTCGTACGTTGGAGGGAGATCAAACGAAAGGGTGCTGTAGGGAGGTGGTGACGGTGGTAATTCTTCAACCAAGTCATGAATCGCCGTGCTCTCAGTTCGCTCACTAGAATATTCAGGGGGTGGTATAGCCAGCCCTGCTTCGCAAGAGTGACAGTCTTCTAAACTAAACGCGCTATTTTCTATAGCTGTGGAACGTAACTCTGTAGTTCCAGATCTAGAGCGCGGATGATGAGAGGACCGTCGCCTCCCGCGATTACTTCGCCTTCTCGACCGCCGACGTTGTCGATCGGCTCTTTGTCTAGCGTACCTGCTTTCTCGAACAAAACAACAACACAGTATTAAAAGGAAAATTGATCCGGTCAATATAGCAGCGGAAAGGAATCCCGCCTTTGTTAACAGGACGTTTGAGGTGCTTTCGCAGTTTCCGTTACTGCAGTGTTCTCCGTCCAAGCATTCCCTTGAATTTCTGCAAGGTAAACGGCGATTTGGTCCCGAAGGTGAAGTTAAGGTTGAGGTTGATGTAAAGCATGCTGTGGAACATCTCATGTCTCGGCAACACAGAGAATAGTTCTGGCGTCTATCATGGCAATCGCCGTCGACAAAACAACGTTTGACAGTTGCGCTAGAGTTCTGAGTCGGCACACAATGAGAATGTTGGCAACTTTCTCCTTTATGACACATTTTGTCTGTCAAACACCAACAATTACTTTCCGCACGGCAGTCTGTCACACAGCAAATCTTCCCTTCCGTACAGTCGGCGCGTTTTGAACATTTCGAGCAAGAAATTTCCACGAAAAAACTAACAGAAACAACCAGTATCAAATTAAGTCCATAAAGTTTCTTCTTCGCCATTGACAGTTAAAAAAAGAATCTTCTGCAAATCAGCACAATAGATGGAGCAAAAAAATTTCAGCCACGCGAGGGTTCAAATTTCATCTTGTTTACCTGAAATTGATCTTTGGCTTTCTTCCACAGTGGAGATAGCATGACTAGATCGGTGCACGTTCACGAAAATAGACGGAAAGCAGGCGTTTGTTATGAATATCAACAGATTTTGCTTTGGTGTAACGCGAGCCTTGTTTTTACGAAAAAACAATGCTGATTATGGACGTTTTCTGAAATAAACGTCACGGCTCGGAAATGGCACGCGATCGCAATTACCAGTTTCCCAGGGAGTCTGTGAGCTGAATTAAGTATGAAAATGAGGTAAATCGGAGTTAAAAAAAACGAAGATAGTTCATCTATAACTGTTAAAACGATTAATTTTACGACATTTTTTAAATTGCCTAGTCATAGAGACTCTGACCTCGATCATGGACTTTGCACCACCCATGTTTTTGTGTTTCATCATTGCGTGACCGTACAGTTTGCTAACAGCAGTCATGGTTAATAAGTCTACCTTTATAATTTATTGTAATTTACCACCACCAGGTGAGCGGGTAATATAATTTTTGTAGCATGAGGCCCTGAAGTCATGCTCCATGTAACAAAAATACTGCCTTTTATTTTCTCTCTTCTCTCTGTATAAAAATCTAAGTAAAACAAGACCTTGCATCGGGCAGGTCACGCTCAACAATTATTCCATTCATTCTGAAGAAGGCAGTCTGCAAGCAGACTGTTGCATAACATCCATCGATGAAACATCAGTTTATTCCTAAGGCATTTAAGTTTGAATAGTCTAATGTAAACAACTGCAAACTAAAATGCGTTTAAAAACTATAAATATATTTACATTTCTCCCTGGCGCTTGGGCTGAAACCCATAAAATGCGTCATTTTATCTTGGTGTCTCATTGTTTTCCTCATGTCCGTCTAGGTGTCTCTCAAATTTCATTGAACTACACGATGGAGGAAAAAGTGGTTGCTGAGTAGCTGTAATTCCTTCTATCTCAATAACAGCCGCACTATTACAAGCTGCCGTTGCAGTGTTAATTTCTGCTCGATGAGATGCTCCATTTGTCTTTGCACCCTCTGTATTGATTACCCTTCGACCGCCTCGAGGCAAGAGCAATTGCCGCTTGACTTTCCTTTCCCGCAAGAAATATAGAATTGAAATAATTGTCGCTACTACTCCAAAAACGATTATAGTTATGATAAGTCCCCTGTTTCCCTTTCGTTTTCCTGTAGATTCGAGATTGTCGACGAGAACACATTTTCCTTCTTGACAGGCTTCACTTCCTACGCAATTACCATCCCAAACACAGTTCTGGTTGTTCTTGTTGTTGTAACTATTCGATACATAAGGAGGTGTATACGGTTTTTCAGTGGAGACGATGTCAGTAAGAGAGTAAAATGTAGTCTTGGTGGGCTGTGTTGGTCGACCACAAAGCGAATCTATACATTCCTCGCCACGAGGACAATCCGCGTCTTTCAAACACACTCGTGGGCACTGAACATCCCAAAAGCAATATCCTGAGCAACATATGCCATTCACGCATTGTGAATCATCGCGGCAGGCCACAGAGATACCGCAAAAGATCAACATTAGACCAAGCAAGAGCGACCAAGCGTTCATTTCTAACCAGACAGGTCTTTTGGGATCGAAAACAAATCTAGAACTGATAAACAGTGATTGAATTCCCAATACCCTAAATTCCCAGAAAACTAACAGTGCAGTCAGATTCTCGGAAACACAGGAAGTGAATGTTAACTGCAGTTCAACGTCACCGGAAGCAACTCTTGAACTTGAAGTTTTCCTTGCTGTCCAGTGGTTTCTCCAAACAGTTAATTTTAAATATGATTTAAGCAGAAAGGCGATAAGGAGAGAGGGAATGATCAACGCCAAATTCTTAAAACTGGGTATATGAGAATGTATCGCAGACGGTGTGAAGTGGATTTAGATCTTACGATTGATCTCGAGTTGAGTTGAGGCAAAAAAAGTTTCCAAGAAAATAACGAGGTGTTTCCTGAAGGGATTAATCTCTTCCAAGCCAGTGCCGCGCTAAAGCAAAACTAGGTTGAGGTGCAGAGGCCCGAAACCAGACTAGTCAGCAATGATAAATAGCGACACAGAGAACAAGAGCACAGTTGGTAAGGTCTTAAAATGCATGTGAACCCCTTTGTCAGAAATAAACGTTAATAAATTGAAAGACAAAGCATGGACCCGCCCCCCCGCCCCGAGAGAACCATTTACCATGTCACAAAGGGTTCAACGTCTATAGAAAATACATTTTTCACTGCCTCCATAACTCGAAAAGTTCTTAACTTTGGATGTGTTTTTGTTAAATTGACGCACATAATTTTCCCACGTATCTCCGCATGGTATGCGGTAAAGGGAAAAAATTTAGTTATCGATCAATCAATCAATCAATCAATCGGCAAATCAAAATTTTTCTTAAGACGGGTAAAACAGGATTGTGTCAATTGGCAATTGGTAAATAGTGATTTGATTGTATTAAAGAGTGATCTTGTATTAAAAATTATCTCTTGACTGGCAGAAGGGAGGGGACCAATCCTACCGTGAAACTGTGCCATAAAATAGAACGGGACCGTCCCTAGTCTGCCACTACGTTCGAATTCACCAGGAATTCAAACGGCAAAGGAAAAGAAAATTATTAACAACCAAGAAATTATTAAGGTTGTCTAAAGCTTTAAAAGTACCGAATAATTAATCGTTCTCCATCAACATGTCTATTTCCGTGAGAGAACTGAACACTAATGAAATTATTAATTCATTTATATCGGAATCTTCGCTGATATTTCACGCCCTGGTGTACCGCACATCCGGGCATGAGTACTTAGATTACCTTAATTTAGTTCTTGTCAAACCATGTTTTTGAAAGGAAAGTTGATGCTTTTCCCTTAAGCCAAGAGATATGTTGTTTACACGTTTACAGTGGGTCAGGTCTGTTGCTTGCTTACAGTCTCTGATATTTTTTATATCATTAAGCGCCTTTGAACATTAGACTACTGGCGCTAAATAAATAACTCCCTTTTCTGTCTTAAATCGGCAGATGCTACTTAACTCCAGACAAACATAGAAGGCAGCACAATATCTTAAATACTGGCAAGTTCACACTGCATATTTAACTAGTAAGGTTGCAACGAAGAAAGACCGCAACAATCGGTTTCAAGTGATGCACTATATGTCACAGGCTGTTCTATGGCAACAACTTAAACCGCAACTAGAGGCACAAAAGTTGTCAACGGTTTGTACACTAAGGCATGACGAAGAAATACTGCACATTACTCCGACTTGTCAGTTTTTTGTCTTCCCCTTGTCACTGCTTCCATCCTTAAGTAGCTGTTGCATAACTGTAACGATTCTTCATTGCGTCTTCATAAGACGGCGGAGCCTGCGATGGGAGTTTCCCATCACTTGACATGTCATAAGGGGGGAGGGGTGGTGCACGTGGTAGAGGGTAGTGGGGTTGTAGCGAATGTATCACGGATGGCATTTCTGTTGACTGCTCATGATGATCTTGAGCCCCTTCGTTCATTCTAGTTCGAATCAACCGGATCTTATGGTTTGCGAAGCACACACCAATCACCAAAAGTATTACAACGACCGCTGGAATAATAAAAGGCAACAGAGAAACGGCCAGAGTTCGTGTATTTCCCGATTTTGGCACATCTGTGTCGTCATTTTCTTTTCTCATTTCCTTGCACTTTCCATCGACGCAAATTTCCGTCACTGGATCGCATTCATAACTGTGATAACATTGCTTAGGTGGCAAGGTGTCCGTTGTGCACTTGTTACTGAAGCAGTTTTCTTGCTTTGAAATGTCGCAGTCATCATTTTTAAAGCAGTTGTTCCCACAATATTTCCTGGGGGAGCATTTATCAAAGCAACACTTCCTTCCCCCAGAAAGATAACAGTCATTGTCTTCAGAGCATGGAGTAGCGATAGAAATCGAGGCTCTAGATGCGACGACGACTATGAAAAATTTGATAAAAGCAGCCGAAGCCATGAAAATCAAGGAAACTTCCTAAATTCTGAGAATTTAATATATCGTGACCGATATCGCTCCCGGTATGCTGCGCTCCTCCAACACGCGGCAGTACATAAACTCTTATGAATTCGTATTCGTTCGTTGTATGTTAATGATATTGTCACTAAATGCTAATAAGAAGAACAATTAGCAACGCTTGAGAACATTTATTCAATCAACCAATGCTGCAAAGGGTAATGATTTTCGTCGGGCGGTAGGGACGTGACTGAAAAGCCGGCGAAAGGACATTAACTACTGAAGTCAGCGCTAGACTGAAAGTTCCCTTTATCAAAAGATCAGATACCGTGAACATACGTGTGGCTCTATAAGAACATCCTCAACTGATACACTGATGTTTACGCTAACATGTTCAGCCGTTTTCGGGGAATAGAGGAGCGAGGGGGGAAGGTTGGAGATCATCATTTGTTCTGTGGATCCGCCTGACTGCGAGGTGACCGTGAGGGTGGGGGAGAGGACTGGTGGATTTGAAATATTTCATACTCATGACCCTGATCTTGACTGTAATTTTAAAACTGCAGTTCCATTTTCTTCTTTTCTTTTCTTTCTTTCTTTTTTTTTTTTTATTTTTTTATTTTTTTTTTACCCACAACCCGCACCCGCCATCCACGACCTCTACCGACGACTCACGACATTAAACTACACTTGCCTCTGTTGACAACTGAATATTTTTTTATTTAGTTACTTGTTTTCACACTAATTTGCCAACAGAGACACTTTACTTTTAAAAGAGAGACAAAGATAATTCATATTTTTAAAATTTAATTCATAAATGGCATCGCGAATTTGCATATGCTTACAATTATGAGGTATGAACACTTTCAAAGAAAATGTGATAACCTCGGGTTTGCAAACCTGCTATGATCTTTGATGATACTGGCTTGGTAGCTTTTCTGTTTGAGATGTCGTTCAAAGCTGGTCCGGCATCCCTCGCAGTGGCGTGGGCTCATAGTCTAGTCATCTCCATCTTTGGTTCTGACATTAAGCACGAACTTGCTCAGCAATTCATTGAGCAGCGCAGGAGGAATTTTTTCTACGTTCCTGAAGTCTACCTTCCTCTGAAGAAGGGTTTTTATCAGGCTTATGTCTCTGTTGGTCTTTACTCTGGAGTTTTTGTTTTCTTGCTCATCCATGAAGTCATCTCTTGTCTCTCAAGGGGAGCAAATCTTGGCACTTCTTCCATTTTGTTTTGAAAGAAAGCCGTCCGCTTGTTTCCCTCCACTGTGAAGAACTACCGTTTGTGTCTCTGATTGGACGAAAGATGAATTTTCACAGTCATTCGCTT